GGCAAATGGCAGCTGGGGTGAAGTGCACGGCGAGGACGGTTCGAAACAGGCTCCTAGGGGCAGGGCTGAAGTCGTGCAAAGCTAGAAAAAAGCCCTTCATCAATGAGAAGCAAAGAAGAGCCAGGCTGAGGTTTGCAAAAGACCATAAGGATTGGACCATAGAGGTCTGGAGTAAGGTAATCTTCTCTGATGAGTCCAATTTTCAGCTTTGCCCAACACCTGGTCGTCTAATGGTTAGACGGAGACCTGGAGAGGCCTACAAGGCACAGCATCTCGCATCCACTGTGAAATTTGGTGGAGGATCAGTGATGATCTGGGGGTGCTTCAGCATGGCTGGAGTCGGGCAGATTTGTCTTTGTGAAGGACGCATGAATCAAGCCACGTACAAGGTTGTCCTAAAAGAAAACTTGCTTCCTTTTGCTCTGACATTGTTCCCCAACTCTGAGGATTGGTTTTTCCAGCAGGACAATGTGCCATGCCACACAGCCAGGTCAATCAAGGTGTGGATGGAGGACCACCAGATCAAGACCCTGTCATGGCCAGCCCAATCTGCAGACCTGAACCCCATTGAAAACTTCTGGAACGTGATGAAGAGGAAGATGGATTGTCACAAGCCATCAAACAAAGCCGAGCTGCTTGAATTTTTGCGCCAGGAGTGGCATAAAGTCACCCAACATCAATGTGAAAGACTGGTGGAGAGCATGCCAAGACGCATGAAAGCTGTGATTGAAAAATCAAGGTTATTCCACCAAATATTGATTTTGGAACTCTTCATAAGTTAAAACATTAGTATTGTAATCAAGACAAAGGGTGGCTATTTGAAGAATCTCAAATATAAAATACATTTTGATTTGTTTAACACTTTTTTGGTTACTACATGATTCCATGTGTTATTTAGAAGTTTTGATGTCTTCACTATTATTCTACAACGTAAAAAATAGTTTAAAAAAAGGAAAACCCTTGAATGAGTAGGTGTCCAAACTTTTGACTGGTAGTGTATATATACACATATATACATATACAAACATACACAGTGCATTGGGAAAGTATTCAGAACCCTTGAATCTTTCCTCATTTTGTTACATTACAGCCTTATTCTAAAATATCTTATTTTTATCCTCCCTCTACACACAATACCCCATAATGATTGGACATTCCATTTTACATTTTAGTCATTTAGCAGACGCTCTTATCCAGAGCGACTTACAGTTATAGTGAGTGCATACATTTTTCTTTCATACAGCGGCATGCTCTACCAACTGAGCTACACGGGACATGATTTGGAAAGGCACACACCTGTCTATATAAGGTCCCGCAGTTGACAGTGCATGTCAAAGCAAAAACCAAGCCATGAGGTTGAAGGAATTGTCTGTAGAGCTCAGAGACAGGATTGTGTCGAGGCACAGATCTGGGGAAGGGTACCAAAAAATGTCTGCAGCATTGAAGGTCCCCAAGAACACAGTGGCCTCCATCATTCTTAAATGGAAGAAGTTTGGAACCACCAAGAGACTCTTCCTAGAGCTGGCCGCCTGGCCAAACTGAGCAATCAGGGGAGAAGGGCCTTGGTAAGGGAGGTGACCATGAACCTGATGGTCACTCTGACAGAGCTCCGGTACGGGAGAACATTCCAGAAGGACAACCATCTCTGCAGCACTCCACCAATCAGGCCTTTATGGTAGAGCGGCAAGACGGAAGCCACTCCTCAGTAAAAAGGCACAGGACAGCCCGCTTGGTGTTTGCCAAAAGGCACCTAAAGGACTCAGACAATGAGAAACAAGATTCTCTAGTCTGATGAAACCAATGAATGCCAAGCGTCATGTCTGGAGGAAACCTGGCACCATCCGTACAGTGAAGCATGGTGGCAGCATCATGCTGTGGGGATGTTTTTCAGTGGCAGGGACTGGGAGACTAGTCAGGATCGAGGGAAAGATGAACGGAGCAAAGTAGAGAGAGATCCTTGATGAAAACCTTCTCCAGAGCACTCAGGACCTCAGACTGGGGCGAAGGTTTATCTTCCAACAGGACAACAATCTAAGCACGCAGGAGTGGCTTTGGGACAAGTCTCTGAATGTCCTTGAGTGGCCCAGCCAGAGGCCGGACTTGAACCCGATCTAACATCTCTGGAGACCTGAAAATAGCTGTGCAGCGACGCTCCCCATCCAACCGGAGCTCAATTTCGAGTCTCATAGCAAAGGGTCTGAATACTTATATAAATATGGTCTCTCTTTATTATTTTGAATACATTAGCAAACATTTCTAAAAACCTATTTTCGCTTTGTCATTTTCGAGTATTGTGTGTAGATTGATGAGGGAAAAAAATTGTTTAATCCATCTTAGAATAAGACTAACGTAACAAAATGTGGAAAAAGTCAAGGGGTCTGAATACTTTCCGAATGCACTATATGTAATTAAAAGTCTCATTAAAGTTTGGCAACATTTTTATGTCAGCACTTATTTATCTACATTTACATACACAAATGGCCTTGCCCCTAAAATCTTGAAATTCCAGGCTTGGAGCACGCCCCCATCCACGGGGCTGTAATGGAGCGGGTTGAGAGTTTCATGTTCCTCAGTGTCCACAAACACTAAGGAATTAACATGGTCCACACACACCAACACAGTCTTGAAGAAGGCACGACAATGCCTCTTGCCCCTCAGGAGCCTGAAATGATTTGGCATGGGCCCTCAGATCCTCAAAATGTTCTACAGCTGCACCATTGAGAGAATCTTGGCTGGCTGCATCACTGCTTGGCATGGCAACTGCTTGGCATCCGACCGCAAGGCGCTACAGAGGGTAGTGCGTACGGCCCAGTCAATCAATCACTGGGGCCGAGCTCCCTGCCATCCATGACCTCTATACCAGGTGGTGTCAGAGGAAGGCCCTACAAATTGTCAAAGACTCCAGTTACCCAAGTCACAGACTGTTCTCTCTGCTACTGTACGGCAAGCGGTCACGATGCACCAAGTCTGGAATCAACAGGACCCTGAACAGCTTCTACCCCCAAGCCATAAGACTACTAAATAGCCTAGTTAACCAAATCGCTACCCAGACTTTCTGCATTGACCCTCTTTACACTAACTCTGACTCATCACATACGCTGCTGCTACTGTTTATTATCTATCCTGTTGCCTAGTCACTTTACCACTACCTATTAGTGTTGCACGGTATACCGAAACTTCTGTACCTTTTCAGTACTAGAATTTGTGTCACTTTTAGTACTTCTGTCAAATGTGTCTCACGTCATATACGGATTGAGAGGCTCGAGTGTCTAGTAATTTGTCAAAATCTTCAAGGGGGCAGTAGCTAGCTAGGCTACTTGTGCTTGCAGCTGACACAGCACAAGCCACTTTTGAGAAGCAAGCGAGCGGAGAGGAAAAATGCAGACAGCATTTCACTACAGACCCTGGTTCGATACCAGGCTGTGTCACAACCGGCTGTGACCAGGAGTCCCATAGGGAGGCGCACAATTGGCCCAGCGTCGTCCGGGTTAGGGGAGGGTTTACTTGGCTCATTGCGCCCTAGTGACTCCTTGTGGTGGGCCGGGCGCCTGCAGACTGACTTCGGTTTGGCGGTTCATGTTTCGGAGGATGCATGACTCGACCTTCGCCTCTCCCGAGCCCGTTGGGGAGTTGCAGCGATGAGACAAGATCGCGATTGGATATCACGAAATTGGGGAGGAAAAAAAAAAAAAAAAAGAAGAGCTTGGTGACTTTCAACATGCCACCGTCATAGGATGCCACCTTTCCAACAAGTCAGTTTGTCAAATTTCTGCCCTGCTAGAGCTACCCCGGTCAAATGTAAGGGCTGTTATTGTGAAGTGGAAACATCTAGGAGCAACAACGGCTCAGTGGTAGGCCACACAAGCTCACAGAACGGGACCCCCGAGTGCGTAGCACGTAGAAATCGTCTGTCCTCGGTTGCAACACTCACTACCGAATTCCAAACTGCCTCTGGAAGCAACATCAGCACAATAACTGTTCGTCGGGAGCTTCATGAAATGGGTTTCCATGGACGAGCAGCCGCACACAAGCCTCAGATCACCTCAGGCAGCCAAGCCCCAAAGGCCTGAGTGGATATGTACTGCCCCTGCTAGGACTGTACAGCAGGGTCACTCAGTTCATACTAGAGAAGCATCCTGCATAGCTACTAATACCTACTGTATGTGAGGCTCTGTTGCCCATGGAAACTATGGAGAAGAGAAGCATTGCTGCTAAGGTATAATAGATGAGGAGGAATACAGGCCAGTGTTGTGTTCAAGAGAAGACACATTCTGCAGGGAAATGAAACAGGGGAAGTTCTACTTCTAATTCGGAACTCATTCTAGAATGTATTAATTCTGTCAAATAACAGCAGACTTTTGTTTTCCATTGCAAAATGTTTTGCTACGGCGTGCCATACTGAACACCACCCAGTAGGCAGGTGTTCTGTTCACCCAGGTTAGTCTCTAGTCCAGTCCTCGAAACAAGGACAGAGCGCAACAAACTCTCCATCTCCCCAGGAGAATCAATGGGAGAATACAAAGTGCTTTTTCACTCCAAAAGAATTACAAAAACAATGCTTTCATGGCTTTAATCTTGTGATAATGGGACCCCATCTGGTTATTGATGCCTTTAGAAACCAAGCCCCTGATGATGAATGGCTGTCAGTCTGATGTGAGCCATGGCAAAGAATGAGAGAGAAAGACAGCAGACAGAGCAATGCTTCCCTCTGGTCTTCATCCAGGCCAGACTGCCTTCATCTACACACAAGGGACTTATAACTTCATCAGTGATACTGCTGCTCGACCGTGGCCAAACCTAACACCTGCAAGGAAAGGAATTGTGTGTGTGTTTGTGTGTGTGTGTGTCTAGCCCACAGAGTTACACTGTCTGGCATTCTGTACCCGAAAGCCTGCCTGGTCTCAGAGTTTGGACACTAAAAAAGCCAGACTAGCGGTTTTCATGTAACCTTTCAATACTGAGGTAATTAGCCATGTGACAAACAAATCTCTCACACTCTAATGAGTCCACCTGCCAAACCGCTCGAGAGCATTAAAGGAGAATGATAGGGGGAAACAATGTTCAACCACAACACACAGTTGGCCTCTGTGTGTAGACACAAATAACCCAGTCAGACAAAAGAGGGACTTACCGGGCTGCTGGTCTGATGTAGCCTGCTGTGGCTGCCTCTCCTCATGGCCGTTCTCACAGACAGTGGCGGTGGCTTGAATAGGCTTTGGCTCTGGTTCTGTATCTGTGTGCATTGGAACTGGTTGTAATTCCAGTTCTGGATCATTGTGCACTGGAGAAGGAGATCTCAGCGGCTGCAGACCAGGTTCTAGATCTGTATGCATTAGAACCACCGGTTCTGAGTCTGTGTGGCTCTGAGTAGCAGTCTGTGGGCTCAGCTCTAGGCCTCCTGTGTCCTTCTCCGCCACCACCTCCTCCTCTACCTGTGGTGGGGCCTGTTGTGGTAGTGACCCAGTAGGCCTACAGCTTGAACACACATAGCCCTGGCTGGGCTGGATGTCTGCTTGACCTGACGACTGGCGCTCACATTCCAGGTGGAGCCATCTGGAAGCAGGAGGAGAGGACAAACGAAGATTAAGGACTCCATCACAACATCAATGGGAAAAGAGACAATGGTAAAACAATGGAGATAGAAAATAGAATGAACAAAGGGACTGTGTGTGTGTACCTTTTACAGCTGTGGCAGGACAGCAGGTCTTTGTGGTGCTCTGGGTCCAGGATACAGGCACACAGCGGACAGCTAAGGTCGGGGTCCTGATGTTGGACACAGGTCTCACACAGTAGACTGGTGTGGTGCCATTGACCGCTGGTCCTGGTGCCGCACTGGACACACACTCTGCAGTTCTGGAGGAGGAGGGAGAGAGAGAACTGAAACAATGATTCTTAATTTTTTTTATTCATCTCCAAGAAGACATTCAGATGAGGCTTCAGTCTGAACTAAAGCGCTTGGGCAAGACACAGCAGCTTCAAGAGTGGAGGAGGGAGGAGAGAGAGGAGCGAGTTGGAGAGAGCGCGAGAGAGAGAGAGAAGAGCGAGAGAGAGAGAGAGAGAGAGAGAGAGAGAGAGAAGAGCGAGAGAGAGAGAGAGAGAAGAGCGAGAGAGAGAGAGAGAGAAGAGCGAGAGCGAGAGAGAAGAGCGAGAGCGAGAGAGAAGAGCGAGAGAGAGAGAGAAGAGCGAGAGAGAGAGAGAAGAGCGAGAGAGAGAGAGAAGAGCGAGAGAGAAGAGCGAGAGAGAGAGAGAGAGGAGGGGGTTGGGTGCTGTGTGGGCTGTGTTCCTTCTGTGCTGCAGAGTCAGACTGAGAGGCAAAAGCTAAGTGAGTGTGAAGATTCTCCACCACCTGGCCGGCACCTCACTGGCTGCTGCTGTGGTCTGCAGTCTGATCCCCACCCACCACCACCGCAGCAGCTGATTGTACGCCCAGACAAGCACCGCGCGCTACCTGCCCCACCAGAGGAAGAGGCCACAGGCAGGGGATGACGACGCCTACGGTTTGATTTCCCCACCGCACACACACGGGCGCCGCCTTATCTGAAATGATTCAGGGTTTGAGGCTAAACGGCAGCCTTTAAAAGAGCGGCCTGTGTGAGTCATTTCTTAACCACAGGAAGCACAGATACAACCACGGAAAAAATTCAATATTCTCATCAGGCAGCTGAATTTCTCAACATTAACTGTGGGAGTTTTAAACCACTGTTCTTACATATTGACAGAGAAAAGGAACATACAACCCTTTAATTCCATTTCTCATTCTACACAGATTTTTCCCCCCCTGTGCCATCTTCAGCTTTTCATATATTGTAGATTCATACCATTTACCTGTAATATACAGCAGAGGACAGGATTATTATTTTATTTTTAAAGGCATTTTCTACCCTGTGAACTTTTAGGGGGCATTTTGAGGCATTTCCATGGCATTTTCATTTGTGGATAAAAAGAAACGTAAATAGCTAATGTGGAAATGTTTCTAAAGTCTTGTATTGGCAAAAAAGCAATCATTCACTCAATTAATGAAATTATAACAATAATAATAATATAAAGTATTATTAATTTTAACTCACATTGGTAGAAATCCACATTCTTTGTGGTTTGAGTTGCCTAAATGTGATGCATAACAATTGGACACACCAATTCATAACACAAAATAAATATAATTATAGGAGAACTGAGCAATTTATGGAACAAGGTTGATCTCTTCCTCTAGTGGGCCTTCGAGAGAGATCAACATTAGGTTTGTCAGCGTGCTGGTATTGTGCTGGGCTTCTCCTGTCCATTTTTACGCTTTTCATTTGTGAAAAAATCCCATTCCACCTTTTCAACTAGTTTATGTGACAAATGAACTAAACTGACCATACGCTGCTTTGTGACTGTGGCTCACCGATGCATATATTTTTTTTGACTCAAGAATCAAAGGCGATAGCCCAACGAAAGCTCTTAGATGTATTTTGTACCAAAGTTTCATGGCAGGCTTTGCAGAACATTACGGTGGCAGCATCTTGAATGGTCTTGACCCCCACCCAATCAATCTTCCATCCCTCGATGGTTGTGTTTTTAACTGTGGTTTTGACGGTTGACTTGCTCAGCGATAGAGGCTGCCGGTGGGTCATTATTATTAACATATTTTTCAACTTCTGCTGTCGCTAATGTTTGCGCCGTCGTTTTTCAAATTAGAAATCGGTCAATGCCAATAAAAATAAATACTTGAGAAGTGGGAGCAGGTCTGCTTACCGTGGACAGATTTTGACGGGAGTAAACTCTTTCGCTTCGCCTCTTCCTCTCTGTTATTATTACCCAAGGTGCCCAGGTTGTGCGAGATGGGGGGAGGGGGCTTGATCTCGTTGCTGCGGCCGGTGTATAGTTTTAATTTTGATATCTTACAAAACATTTTTCAAGGGCATTTATTTGCCCTCGTTATGACAATTTAGGGGGCATTTAAGAAACCTTAGCGGACATTTTTGCCCCTCGTTCAATTCCGACCCTGATACAGCACCTTACACTATAATGTCCATCTTTCACAGTATTGTAGTGTCTTCCACATACCTTACACCTCCATCCGTTGGTAGGGATGTCTTCAATGGCCGGTTGCAGACAGAAAGTGTGATAGCCTTTGTCACACATGTCACACACCAACATCTTATCGTCCTCCCCTGGGTTCCTGCACACAGGGAGAAGGACACTTGAGAGCTCTACATACATTCTTTGGATCTATGTACTCTATATGTAGCCCCTTATGTTAAAAATGTGTGCCCTAATCCTAGAAACGAACGACTGTTGCAAAGTCACAGCTAAAGGGTCAATGTGTTGGTCTAATCTGTATTGCAGAGCCGACCTGAATTTATTGTGGACTCGGTTGCTAACAGTAACCAGGCTGTTTGAGGTACGAGACTAAAGAACAGTGCCTGAGGGTGCGTTACCCACAAACCACAGTGGTAGCACAAACAAAATCACACAGTGTCCACCTCCATGCCTGACGGCCACTGCCACACATACAAATCTCAATACAGGGCCAGGTCAGGTGTGTGGGTGGACGGATGGGGCTGTTGGAAGGTGACTCACTTGCAGGCCTGGCAGACCTTGCACTCTGGGCACTGCCAGCCAGCTCTCCTCAGCGGGGTCACAGCCATGTCCAGGCAGGCCCCGTGGTAGTGCTGCCCACAGCTGGTACAGAAGAGATGGTCAAGGAGCTCCCCAGGGCTGTCACACAGTGCACAGATAAAGTCGTCTGGAACTAGGAGGGGGAAGAGGGGGAGGGTAAGAGGGGGAGGAAAGGAAAGAGAGAGAGAGAGCGAGAAAGAGAGGGAGGGAGGGAAATGGAGAATAGGGAAATTTCAGATGACGTCTAGAGAGTTTTTCCTTGTTCCTACTTATGACAGCATTACATCATATAATTATTTCAAGTGAATTTGTATGACGCTGGACTCACATCTGCTGATGGCCAGTTCTATGTGATCCGGACAGAGGAGGGAGAGACTCCTGATATCCTGAAAAGTCCCTGCCGCCCCCGCACATGGGTAATGGTACAGTTGAGCACATCCTTCAGCACAGCACTTGATGGAGGCTCCAAGGCGCTTACAGTATGCACAGTGCTAGAAAGGGGGGAAACAAGAGGGGAGTCAATCAAATTTATTTATACTGAACAAAAATATAAACTCAACATGTTAAGTGTTGGTGCCATGTTTCATGAGCAGAAATAAAAGACCGCAGAAATGTTCCATATGCACAAAAAACGTATTTCTCTCAATTTCTGTGTACAAATGTGTTTACATCCCTGTTAGTGAGCATTTCTCCTTTGCCAAGAAAATCCATCCACCTGACAGGTGTGGCATATCAAGAAGCTGATTAAACAGCATGATCATTACACAGGTGCACGTTGTGCTGGGGACAATAAAAGGTCACTAAAAAAAAGCATTTTTGTCACACAACGCCACATTTCTCAAGTTGAGGGAGCTTGCACAATTGGCATGCTGACTGCATGAATGTCCACCAGAGCGGTTGCCAGATAATTTAATGTTAATTTCTCTACCATAAGCCGCCTCCATCATTTAAGAGAATTTGGCAGTACGTCCAACCGGCCTCACAACCACGGACCATGTGTAACTACGCCAGCCCAGGACCGCCACATCCGGCTTCTTCACCTGCGGGATCATCTGAGACCAACCACCCGGACAGCTGATGAAACTGTGGGTTTGCGCAACCGAAGAAATTCTGCACAAACTGTCAGAAACCATCTCAGGGAAGCTCAACTGCGTGCTCATCGTCCTCACCAGGATCTTGACCTGACTGCCGTTCGGCGTTGTAACCGACTTCAGTGGGCAAATGCTCACCTTCGATGGCCACTGGCACACTGGAGAAGTGTGCTCTTCACGGATGAATCCCGGTTTCAACTGTACTGGGCAGATGGCAGATAGAATGCATGGTGTTGTGTGGGCGAGCGGTTTGCTGATGTCAACGTTGTAAACAGAGTGCCCCATGGTTGCGGTGGGGTTATGGTTTGGGCAAGCAGGCAGGCAATAAGCGACGGACAACAAGCACAATTGCATTTTATCAACGCATTTTGAATGCACAGAGATACTGTGACGAGATCCTGAGGCCCATTGTTGTGCCATTCTTCCACCGCCATCACCTCATGTTTCAGCATGATAATGCATGGCCACATGTCGCAAGGATCTGTGCACAATTCCTGGAAGCTGAAAATGTCTCAGTTCTTCCATGGCCTGCATATTCACCACACATGTCACCCATTGAGCATGTGTGAGATGCTCTGGATCGACGTGAGTGACAGCATGTTCCAGTTCCAGCCAATATCCAGCAACTTCGCACACCCATTGAAGAGGAGTGGGACAACATTCCAAAGGCCACAAACAACACCCTGATCAACTCTATGCGAACAAGATGAGTCGCGTTGCATGAGGCAAATGGTGGTCACACCAGACAGATACAGACTGGTTTTCTGATCCACGCCCATACCTTTTTTTAAGGTAACTGTGAAAACAGCACGCATATCTGTATTCCCAATCATGTGAAATCCATAGATCAGGCCCTAACGAATTTCAATTTACATATTTCCTTATATGATCTCTAACTCAGTAAAATCTTGGAAATTGTTGCATGTTGCGTTTACATTTTTGTTCAATGTATAAAGGCCTTTTTACAACAGTAATGACACAATCACCTCATTCTTCTCTCTAGATTCTTAAAACACAATACAAAGATATGTCTACAAAAATCCCCTGCAAGGGGCTACTATTGACAAGAATGATCTGTCAAAGTCAATGGGCTAGGGGAGGTTTACAGACAGTACTTTGAGATGAGGAAGGTATTTTTGGTAGTGCAAGGTTGTGCTTAGACAGTAAATGTATTGTTGTGTATGAGAACAATTGAGAGATCCCATTTCTCCTCTATTTCCCATACACAACAATTCATACTGTGTAAGAACAGCCCTCCTAAGACTTTTCACATCTTTAATTTTATTTGTCATATGCTTCATAAACAGGCGTAGACTAACAGTGAAATGCTTAGTTACGTACCCTTCCCAACAACGCAGAGAGAAAAAATTGAAATAATAGAAACAAATAACTTGGCTATATACACGGGGTTGCAGTACCGAGACCATGTACAGGGGTACAAGGTCATTGAGGTAGTAATGTGCGTATAGGTACAGTGAGGGAAAAAAGTATTTGATCCCCTGCTGATTTTGTACGTTTGCCCACTGACAAAGAAATGATCAGTCTATAATTTTAATGGTAGGTATATTTGAACAGTGAGAGACAGAATAACAACAACAAAATCCAGAAAAACGCATGTCATAAATGTTAAACTGATTTGCATTTTAAATTAGGGAAATAAGTATTTGACCCCCTCTCAATCAGAAATATTTCTGGCTCCCAGGTGTCTTTTATACAGGTAACGAGCTGAGATTAGGAGCACACTCTTAAAGGGAGTGCTCCTAATCTCAGCTTGTTAACTGTATAAAAAAGACACCTGTCCACAGAAGCAATCAATCAATCAGATTCCAAACTCTCCACCATGGCCAAGACCAAAGAGCTCTCCAAGGTTGTCAAGGACAAGATTGTAGACCTACACAAGGCTGGAATCGCCAAGCAGCTTGGTGAGAAGGTGACAACAGTTGGTGCGATTATTCGCAAATGGAAGAAACACAAAATAACTGTCAATCTCGCTCGGCTTGGGGCTCCATGCAAGATCTCACCTCGTGGAGTTGCAATGATCATGAGAACAGTGAGGAATCAGCCCAGAACTACATGGTAGGATCTTGTCAATGATCTCAAGGCAGCTGGGACCATAGTCACCAAGAAAACAAATTGGTAACACACTACGCCGTGAAGGACTGAAATCCTGCAGCGCCCGCAAGGTCCCCCTGCTCAAGAAAGCACATATACAGGCCAGTCTGAAGTTTGCCAATGATCATCTGAATGATTCAGAGGAGAACTGGGTGAAAGTGTTGTGGTCAGATGAGGCCAAAGTCGAGCTCTTTGGCATCAACTCAACTCGCCGTGTTTGGAGGAGGAGGAATGCTGCCTATGACCCCAAGAACACCATCCCCACTGGGGTGTTTTTCTGCTAAGGGGACAGGACAACTTCACCGCATCAAAGGGACGATTGGACGGGCCATGTACCGTCAAATCTTGGGTGAGAACCTCCTTCCCTCAGCCAGGGCATTGAAAATGGGTCGTGGATGGGTATTCCAGCATGACAATGACCCAAAACACACGGCCAAGGCAACAAAGGAGTGGCTCAAGAAGAAGCACATTAAGGTCCTGGAGCGACCTAGCCAGTCTACAGCCCTTAATCCCATAGAAAATCTGTGGAGGGAGCTGAAGGTTCGAGTTGCCAAACGTCAGCCTCAAAACCTTAATGACTTGGAGAAGATCTGCAAAGAGGAGTGGAACAAAATCCCTCCTGAGATGTGTGCAAACCTGGTGGCCAACTACAAGAAACGTCTGACCTCTGATTGCCAACAAGGGTTTTGCCACCAAGTACTAAGTCATGTTTTGCAGATGGGTCAAATACTTATTTCCCTCATTAAAATGCAAATCAATTTATAACATTTTTTACATGCGTTTTTCTGGATTTTTTTGTTGTTATTCTGTCTCTCACTGTTCAAATAAACCTACCATTACAATTATAGACTGATCATGTCTTTGTCAGTGGGAAAACGTACAAAATCAGCAGGGGATCAAATACTTTTTTCCCTCACTGTATGGCTAAAGTGACTAGGCAACAGGATAGATAATAAAAACAGTAGCAGCAGCGTATGTGATGAATCAAAAGAGTTAATGCAAAAAGGGTCAACACAGATAGTTAAATAGTTAACCAATAGCTACCCGGTCCAACTATTTAGCAGTCTTATGGCTTGGGGGTAAAAGCTGTTCAGGGTCCTGTTGGTTTCAGACTTGCTGCATCGGTACCTCTTGCAGTGGGGCAGCAGAGAGAAAAGTCTATGACTTGGGTGCCGGGGTCTGACAATTTTTAGGGCTTTCATCTGACACAGCCTGGTATAGAGGTCCTGGATGGCAGGGAGCTCGGCCCCAGTGATGTATGGGCAGTGCGCACTACCCTTTGTAGCGTCTTGCAGTCGGATGCCAAGCAGTTGCCATACCAAGCGGTGATGCAGCAAGTCAAGATGCTCTCAATAGTGCAGCTGTAGAAATTTGAGGATCTGAGGGCCCATGACAAATCTTTTCAGCCTCCTGGGAAGAGGTGATGTCGTGCTTTCTTCACGACGGTGTTGATGTTTGGACCATGATAATTCCTTAGTGATGTGAATGCTGAAGAACATGAAGCTCTCGACCAGCTCCACTACAGCTCTGTCGATGTTGAAGGGGGTGTGCTCGGTCCTCCGTTTCCTGTAGTCCACGATCAGCTCCTTTGTCTTGCTGACATTGAGGGAGAGGTTGTTGTTCTGGCACCACACTGCCAGGTCACTGACCTCCTCCCTATCGGCGGTCATCGTCGTCGGTGATCAGGCCAACCACTGTCGTTTCGTCAGCAAACTTAATGATCGTGTTGGAGGCGTGAGCAGCGACGCAGTCGTGGATGAACAGGGAGTAAAGGAAGGGATTAAGCATGCACCGCTGAGGGGCCCCCGTGTTGAGGGTCAGAGGCAAGACGACAAATGTATTCAATCCTTTGAAGAATAACCATCCTCTACTTTAATGACGATTGCATGGTAAAAAAAATAAGCACCTGACAGCAGCAATGCCCCTCAGCCACAACCAGCCACCTATGTTAAACAGGCATTGATTGCTGATGCGTTTTCAAGTGTAACGCCCTACGAAATAACATCCTGCGCAGGCGCATACAAATCACAGAAGCTATCACATAGCCAAAGACATGGTTCCTATTTACAGTCAGCAAAGACTGCTTCAAGAAGATCATAAACAAGCTGGACAGGAAATACAAGATTCCATCTCGCACATATTCGCCATCCCCACACTTTAACAAAAATAAGGGAGATATTGAAACATGTCGCATTGAATGACTGGCCAAGACACCGATGCTTCGGACACAAGCTGCACCTTGCAATCGGAAGGCAACATGTGTTACATGTTTTTAAGACACTGACTTCTAATTATAATAATGACGAGGCCTACTTATACATAATTACACAATCATAAGCTTCCTATTCCATCTGCAGCCTTGGGTTAACTTAGGTTATTTAAGAACTCATAAAAGTAAAATAGGAAATGGGAACTCGTGTTACTAATTAATTAATTAAATTAGTGCTGCGCTTATAGCACACTATATTTGATGATCATTTAAAAAATGTTTTGTTAATATGTAGGTGTAATAATCCTATCTTTTATCATATGTAGCCTATAACAATGTTGGAAAATATTTGTTTAATTTGGTTTTGTATTCAGTTAGCACAGTATGTATTCATTCATATGATATCATTTTAGAAGTGATGTTCTCTACCCTGAAAATTGTTTGAAAATCACAATTCATAAATCGCAATATCTGGGCCCCCCTCCCAAAAAACGCAATTAGATACTGTATTTTGTCCAAATCGTGCAGCCATAGGACTAAGCACGCACCCCTGAGGGGCCCCCATGTTGAGGGTCAGCTTGACGGATGTGTTGTTGCCTACCCTCACTACCAGGGGGCGGCCCGTCAGGAAGTCCAGGATCCAGTTGCAGAGGGAGGTGTTCAGTCCCAGGGTCCTGAGCTAAGTGATGAGTTTGGAGGGCACTATGGTGTTGAACGCTGAGCTGTAGTCAATAAACAGCATTCTCACATACAGTAGGTGTTCCTCTTGTCCAGGTGGGAGAGGGCAGTATGCAGTGCAATAGAGATTGCGCCATCTGTTGATCTGTATGCGAATTGAGAGGGTCCAGGGTGACTGGGATGGTGTTGTGAGCCATGACCAGCCTTTCAAAGCATTTCAGTGCAAAAAGTCCCTCAGAGTTGCGGTGACAATGAGAGGCAACATGAAAAATGTATTCAATCATTTGAAGAATAACCATCCCCTACTTTACGACGATTGCATTGTAAAAAAAATTGAATAATCATCCGACAGCAGCAATGCCCCTCAGCCACAAAGCACTTCATGGCTACAGATATGAGTGCTACGGGGGCGATAGTCATTTAGACAGGTTATCTCGGCATTCTTGGGCACAGGTACTATGGTGGTCTGCTTGAAACATGTAGGTATAACAGACTGGGTCAGGGAGAGGTTGAAAATGTTAGTGAAGACACTTGACAACTGGTCAGCGCATGCTTGGAGTACACGTCCTGGTAGTCCATCTGGCCCCACGGCCTTGTGAATGTTAACCTGTTTAAAAAGGTCTTACTCACATCGGCTACGGAAAGCGAGATCACACAGTCATCCGGAACACCTGGTACTCACTGGGAAGCTCGCGGCTGGCTTTACCTTTGTAATCTGTGATAGTTTGCAAGCCCTGCCACATCCTGTATTGAAGTTTTGACTGTTTGATGGCTCGGAGGTCGTAGCGGGATTTCTTATAAGCGTCCAGGTTAGTGTCCCGCTCCTTGAAAGCGGCAGCAGTAGCCTTTAGCTAAGTGCGGATGTTGCCTATAATCCATGGATTCTGGTTGGGATATGTACGTACGGCCTCCAACACTCCGTTGTGTCCTCCTCCCAAAGTGCAAAGAACCTTGGCGTGACCCTGGACATCACCCTGTCATTCTCCGCTAACATCAAAGCGGTGACCCAATCCTGTAGGTTCATGCTCTACAATATTCGCAGCGTACGACCCTACCTTACACAGGAAGCGGCACAGGTCCTAATCCAGGCACTTGTCATCTCCCGTCTGGATTACAGCAACTCGCTGTTGGCTGGGCTCCCTGCCTGTAACATTAAACCCCTCCAACTCATCCAGAACGCTGCAGCCCGTCTGGTGTTCAACCTTCCCAAGTTCTCTCACGTCACCCCGCTACTCCGCACACTACTGGCTTCCAGTTGAAGCCAGAATCTGCTACAAGACCATGGTGCTTGCCAACGGAGCTGTGAGGGGAACGGCACCTCCGTACCTTCAGGCTGTGATCAGTCCCTACACCCAAACGAGGGCATTGCGTTCATCCACCTCTGGCCTGCTGGCACCTCTGCGGAAGCACAGTTCCCGCTCAGCCCAGTCAAAACTGTTCGCTGCTCTGGCACCCCAATGGTGGAGCAAGCTCCCTCACAACGCCAGGACAGCGGAGTCACTCACCACCTTCCGGAGACACTTGAAACCCCACCTCTTTAAGGAATACCTGGGATAGGATCAAAGTAATCCTTCTACCCTCCCCCTACCCCACCCCCCAAAAAAATATTATATATTTTAAAGTGGTTGTCCCACTGGCTATCATAAGGTGAATGCACCAATTTGTAAGTCGCTCTGGATAAGAGGGTCTGCTAAATGACAAAAATGTAAATGTCACTGTGGGGACGTCGTCGATGCACTTATTAATTAAGCCGGTGACTGATGTGGTAAACTCCTCAATGTGCTAGTGAAACAGTCCTGTAGCTTAGCATCTGCTTCATTGGAACACTTCCGTATTGAGCGCATCACTGGTACTTCCTGTTTGAGTTTTCACTTCTAAGCAGGAATCAGGAGGATAGAGTTAGTCAGATTTGCCAAATGGAATGCAAGGGAGAGCTTTGTATGCATTTCTGTGTGTGGACTAAAGTTGATCAAGCGTTTTGTCGCCTCTAGTTGCACAGGTGACATGCAGGTAAAAATGAGGTAAGACGGATTTCAGTTCACTGCATTAAAATCACCGGCCAAAAGGAGCGCTCCAGGACAAAGTGCTTTTACAGTAACATGGTCTAAACCGAGAGTCAGATTAGAATTGATACAATATGGTATACCAGTTCCTTACTGCATCTACAGACAAATGAAAAAACTCCTACAACAAAGGACAAAGAATTTCAAAGGAAGACCTCCCTAAAGTACTGTACACAGAATGCAGCATTGCTCATGCAAGTCCATGGTTCCCCTATCCTTTGATGTTTCCTTTAAAACAATCCATCAATGCTCTCAGTTCTTCCTGATTAAAAACCCTCCCTTTGTCACACCATGATTAGCCCATTGATGCTAACACTTCCCTTCCAAAGTGTCATATCATATGCTATTGGATACTTCCGACTCCCTCATAAATTCTTCCCCAAACACACTGAGTCATGCCTCCTCTCATTCATCTGCACTGATCTGAACAAACTGACCAGATGAAAGCCAGCCTACTGATGAGCTTCCACCATATTGTTTCAAGTCTTTTCCAACCATTGCAGATGAAGGGGGATGAATGTTTAGACACTTGAAAAGGAGCTGGTGACTTGCTGATGGTCTAGCAGGCGAGGGGAGTGCCAGACATATGGGATGTGCCCCAAATTGATCCCTATAGGTCCAAGTCAAAAGTAGTGCACTATATAGGGAATAGGGTGCCATTTCGGACGCAACCACCCAGTCATGGGTCTGTGAGTTGTGTTGGTGCTAATGCTACAATAGGCACCGAGCTAAGCCACCATGACTCTATACAGCCTTTACTGTAGAGTGTCATGACCTTTTCCATTTCACAGCTGAGAGAGGAGAGAGCAGCGCTGCCAGGGGCGACCTTTAACAGCCGGCCTGATCCATCACCTCACCAGTCTCTCCCTCCCTCCTTTTCCCCCCTCTCATTTTACATTTACATTTTAGTCATTTAGCAGACGCTCTTTAGTGAGCGACTTACAGTTAGTGAGTGCATACATTTTTTCATACTGGTCCCCCGTGGGAAACGAACCCACAACCCTGCTCGCCATGCTCTACCAACTGAGCTACCCCCTCTCTATCCGTCTCTCACTGGAACACCCCCTTCCTGCTGCTGTCATTCATTATAGGCACCATGTTAATTCCTATTTACTATGGACACACTGTTAACGCATATTCATAAGACAGTGTGAAGTCCTACTGCATTTACTGTAGACAATGACAACTCACTATATAGACAGTTCTCTAGAGCAGTGGTATTCAAAGTCGGGGAACAAAAAAGTAAGAGTACAGATTATATAAAAACTTTGAGAAAGATAATTTGAAAAATACAATTTTATTGAGTAAAAGTATTTGTTGGTTTCTTTTCATTTTGATAAGAGATGAAAATGCAATGAATTGAAGGTAATTTGTTGATGTAAAAACCTACATTTACAGACTAAGGTTGTCATTAGATTCAGGGTGGGGTTGCAAGAAATTCTTGGGGGGGGGGGGGGGAATGGGGTCCACAAACTCTGGCAGAAAAAAGTGGGGTCCCCGCTGAAAAAGTTTGAATACCACTGCTCTAGAGTGTATAATCCCATTCACTTTATAGACATGTTTTAAAATGGGCTGCTCACCTCTGTGCTCCCTGAGTCGATGGCTCTGTCCACGTTGAGCAGTGATTGTCCCTCGCCCACGCACACACCCTGCGACCATAACGCACAGCGGTGATGCGCCCAGCACTGCCCCGACTCCTCAAAGAGAGACTGGACGTCCACGTCTCCTGGGAGGCCCACGTGAGACAGCTCATCCCAGAACCTGCTTGCCTTGTCTGGGTCTGGTAACTCCCCATAGCGCTCAGCTCCACTGGAAGAGATATGAAGAGAGAGATTAGTAAAGATAACTGGAGATGAGGCTGAGGTAGAAAGAGTTGATGAAGCAAAGTGAGGCAACCTGGGAAGAGAAGACAGTAAAGGACTACCGAGAAGAACTAAGGCAGAGATGAGAGGAGGGAGAGAGCAGTAGAGGAGAAGGAGGGGGAGGAAGGGGGTCGTATTATTTGGCTGTGACACACAAGAGGCTGGCTGTTCAGACTCATAAAATCTGCTGAAAGGGTAGCCGTTCCCAGAGTCCATGGCTTGCTCTAGTGAGCCGCAAAGCATGCGGAAAATGTGGCAAGAGGGAATTAGCATTTATAAGGACCCTAGTTGGTTTCAGTAAATACACAAACATCCAAAAACGGAGTGAGTGAGGTCTAGGATGATGATGATGGAGGAAGTTATAATTATATTCCCTGTATAACGCCTTGTCCTTGTTATGGCTCTTCTGACAGGAGCTTACATATTGTGCAATATAGGTCTAGTATTCAATGTACCTTGTGGAACAGCGGAGACCGGGAAGAGAAACAAACATGCACACACATACACACACAATAAGAAACACTACACACATAGGTATTGTAGATTTGTGGTAGTAGAGTAGTGGCCTGAGGGCACACACTTATTAATGTGTTGTGAAATCTGTTGTGAAATGTAATGTAATGTTTTTAACTGTATACAACTGCCTTAATTTTGCTTGACCACAGGAAGAGTAGCTGCTGCCTTGGCAACAGCTAAATGGGGATCCATAATAAATACAAATGCCACCATCCTTTATGTTTACATTTCCTCCCTCTCCCACATCCTCCATTCCTCTCCCTCTCCCTCTCCCCACCCTTTCTCTCCATGGACTAGTCTAGAGACCCAATGACCAATCACACTGCACCAACACAACAATGCTTGGCTGGCGTTGGCCCGCTGCCAGGGGAGTTGCGGTGTGAGTGTTTGTGCTCTGCTCTCTCTGCACATTACATTACGTCACCGGGACCCCAGGGAGATGCTCTATTGGCTCCAAAGAGCAAAAACAAATTAGGCAGCTGTCCAAAACGTGTCCAGGGAGGGTCCTTTGATGGCACAGTACACGCACGCACACACAAACGTACAGCACACACACACAGAGTGCAAACGCTCACGTCTTAGTGTTACTCTACGTGGGATCATAGGGCCCCTGGGGACCACAGTAGGCAGAAAAGGCTTGCTAAGGCGGAGCAGAGCGCCACCAATTTAGCCTTCAAGAGCAGAGTGCTAGCATTCATATACGCACTCAGACCCTTCCTCTGAAATACACAAAGCACTTATTCCACACATCAGCAGATATTCAAGACATCAACTCTGAGATTACAGATATCAGCTGCCAGCTAAATCATGTCCTATAACGATGCTGCACACACATCTTTGTTTGCTGCTGTTTTCCTGTTCCTTTGTTTTTATTCTTCCGTGTCATGTTTCTCACTCAAAGTCTGTGCGTCTGTATTGGACAGGCATCTGTATGGACAGGCAAGGCTGGCCAAATAAACAGCCTGCGACATCAAAGCAGCAGAGAGCCCAGCTCTCGTTCCATACAGCTCATTAACCGGCTACAGAGGCCATCACAGATTTCACCGTCCCTGCTCAGCGAGACCAGACCAGCTCTGCCTGCCAAACCCTTTGCTAGCCAGCTCTACTTACTTCTGTGTGCCCCTCTGTCCTGAGCTGGCCTCTCCGGCCGAGTCGCTGGGCTGAGTGGTTCTCTCACCACCGCTGTCGGCGCTGCCTTTACTGGCCTTCCTGTGGTCGTTGGCCTGGCCTACTCCTCCTGTCGCGTTGCGCTCGTGTCCAGGCGAGGAGTCAAACACTCTGAGATCCCCCTGACCCAGCAGACTGCAGCCGCCACAGTAACAGAAGGCACAGAGCTGCTCACTGAGAGAGAGACAGAGAGAGACAGAGAGAGAGAGGGTTGGTTAATTATATATGGAACATGCAGCTATGCATGCAGTACGTAAAAGTAGGAAAATGTATGACCTCACTACAGTAAGTCACTCTGGATAAGAGCGTCTGCTAAATGACAAAAATGGAAATGGTCACTGGCTGGTTGTAAATTAATTATCTTTGGTATGGCCTGGTCAGGAGCAAGCAAAGCAAGTATACGCACAAACTGTACACACGCAATAAAACATTTTTTGTAAGTTACACATAGTAGGGACCTTTGATGAACCTATACTCAATCAAATCGATCAAGCCACATCCACGCATTCAAGGATCCAAAACAGAGGATCTTGAGCCACCAGAGAGATGGGTCGAGTGGCAGGGAGTCAGTGGGTGAGGGAAAGTAAAGCAAGCCAGGCAGATCAGACCAGCGCAGGCAGCAAATATTTATCTGGTTGGTTTCTAGAGGAGCTGGGCTTGTTAATAAGATTAATAAGATCCCTCGAGAGATGCTGCTTGTCCGGCCTGACTGCCCCTCCATCAGCAGCATCGACAGTGCAGTCAGTCTTGGAGATTGATTACAACCTTTAACAGAGTGGCACCTGGGGGGGGGGTGTATCGTTCCTCTGCCCGCTCCCGGCTGATGACTCAATATTTTGACACACGTGAGGTGCACCGTGCATGTGTGTGTTTGTGCATTGATGAGAATAGGCATGCAAGCAGAGAAGCCCATATGCTGTATACTGACAGACGGACCTATACATATCGCATTAACAAACATACAGATACACAGCATACAAACATACGCAGACTTGATGGTGGCCTATCTCTCTGACTGACCTGCTTTTGGCTCCTCTGGTGGTAGCAGGGCCAGGGGCAGAGGGCTCGGCTGCATCCCCAGTCTGAGGGCTCTGGGCGTGGGGAGAGTGGGGCTTCTCCTCCGCCTCCCCCGGACCCTCAGTGGTAACCACCTCCACACTGTCCACCTGCTGCTGGGCTGGAGTATCTGACGGTGCAAAGACAAAGAGGATAGGGTTTAGAGGCAGAGAAACATGAATATCTATGCATAGAATCTAACCAGTATGTTTCCATAGATTCCTACCAGTAATGTATATTTGTGTCAATGGTTGAAATTTTACATTTCAACCATGCCCTGAAGTGATCATCCATCTACCAAATGTCAGATCAGTCTCTGACCGATACAGGTTGACAGAGGACTGGTTGATTTGTCTTCAGTTCCAGGCAAGTTGCTCCAGGTCAGAAACAGAAACACCCTTTGTTAGAGAAAGGGATGATGGTGGGAATATGGAGACCATATGCTGGAGCGCTGATTGCCGTAAACCCAAGGGGAGCCCACAGGCAGGCTTCCAGTCACATACGACAATAACAACGTTGACAAAAACACCAATTACTCACATCACTTCAGACAAACAGAAGAGAGGGTTATTATAAACCTGAATAGTGGCCATGGCCTCCCAAATAGCGTTTTACACAGACACTTTGAACATTGGACTATAATTGGATGTCTGACAAGTAACCTCTGAGTGGTTTGGGATTTTGGTTGGGTTTTGACATGTCTGTGGCTGGCCTGCGCTTCTAGTTACATTCCATCTATTGGTGGCTTGTTATTTTGATGAGCATTTAGCTAACATGTCAATGCCACTGGCAATTAGGGGTTAAATTGAGGTATTTAGTGCCAAAGGTCAAATGTCTTCTCCAAGGTACAAACAGTATGCTCATTGTTTAGGTTTGATGGTCAGCAATGTATTAATAACCCATTGCTAGGAAATAACCAGTTGCTATGGAAATAAGCATGAACGGAACGGTAAAGTGACCCAAACACATCATGTCATGAAAGGAGAGTCAGACAGACACAGGAAGGATTAGTACTAAGGTCACGTTACATCCTCGGTGTTGACTTTTTCATTTATAGAGTTGTGCATACAACAAGTCAAGGGCCAAGACTATTGTAAAGACACATTGTGAGTGAAGTTCCTTTAGCGCCAACTGCCTGAAGGGAAAGCAGACTAATGCAGAGTCTGACTCCGCTTGCAAGAACACCCCTATTGGAGCTCTAGAGGCCAGTCGGTGAGATAAATAACAGAATAGAGTGATTGTGTTCTATAAAATTGGGAACAAACAAAAAAATCCATACCCATTGTTAAAGCAAGGTAAAATAACATAACCCACTCCCAAATGCATGCACACACACCCTCTGAAACACCTACAAGGTCTAGAGCTGAGAAAACAAAAATCCCTCTCCCCAACTATATAGCACCTTCCAACTACAGTGCATTCGTAAAGTATTCAGACCCCTTGAATTTTTCCACATTTTGTTAATTTATAGCCTTATTCTAAAATTGATTAAATTGTTTGTTTTTACATGTTAGTCGTTTGTTTTTCCTCATCAATCTACACACACAACACCCCATAATGACAAAAAAAAAAACAGGTTTAGAAATGTTTTAAAAATAAAAAACTGAAATATCACATTGAAGCACCTTTGGCAGCGATTACAGCCTCGTGTCTTCTTGGGTATGACGCTACAAGCATGGCACACCTGTATTTGGGGAGTTTCTCCCATTCTTCTCTGCAAATCCTCTCAAGCTCTGTCAGGTTGGATGGGGAGCGTTGCTGCACAGCTATTTTCAGGTCTCTTCAGAGATGTTCGGTCGGGTTCAAGTCCGGGCTCTGGCTGGGCCACTCAAGGACATTCAGAGACTTGTCCCGAAGCCACTCCTACGTTGTGTTGTCTTGGCTGTGTGCCTAGGGTCGTTGTCCTGTTGGAAGGTGAACCTTCGCCCCAGTCTGAGGTCCTGAGCGCTCTGGAGCAGGTTTTCATCAAGGATCTCCCTGTACTTTATTCCGTTCATCTTTCCCTTGATCCTGACTAGTCTCCCAGTCCCTGCCGCTGAAAAACATCCCCACAGCATGATGCTGCCACCACCATGCTTCACCGTAGAGATGGTGCCAGGTTTCCTCCAGACGTGATACTTGGCATTCAGGCCAAAGAGTTAAATCGTGGTTTCATCAGACCAGAAAATCTTGTTTCTCATGGTCTGAGAGTCCTTTAGGTGCCTTTTGGCAAACTCCAAGCAGGCTGTCATGTGCCTTTCACTGAGGAGTGGCTTCGGTCTGGCCACTCTACCATAAAGGCCTGATTGGTGGAGTGCTGCAGAGATGGAAGGAAGAGTCTTGGTGGTTCCAAACTTCTTCCATTTAAGAATGATGGAGGCCACTGTGATCTTGGGGATCTTCAATGCTGTTTTGGTACCCTTCCCCAGATATGTGCCTCGACACAATCCTGTCTTGGAACTCTACAGAAAATTCCTTTGACCTCATGGCTTGGTTTTTGCTCTGACATGCACTGTCAACTGTGGGACCTTATATAGACAGGTGTGTGCCTTTCCAAATCATGTTCACTCAATTGAATTTACCACAGATGAACTCCAATCAAGTTGTAGAAACATCTCAAGGATTATCAATGGATACAGGATGCACCTGAGCTCAATTTCGAGTCTCATAGCAAAGGGTCTGAATACTTAGGTAAATAAGGTATTTCTGTTTTTTATTTTTCATAAATTCGCATTAATTTCTAAAAACCAGTTTTCGCTTTGTCATTATGGGGTATTGTGTGTAGATTGAATCAATTTCAGAATAAGGCTGTAACTTAACAAAAATGTGGAAAAAGGGAAGGGCTCTGAAAACTTTCCAAATGCACTGGATTTAGCCCAAATCCATGACAGCACTGAGATGTACGGGAACTGGGGGCAGGTCATGTGATGTACACGCATAGAAAAGCATCTAAATGGGCTGGGGGAGAGTGACAGGATTTTAAAAAGCTTTTAGAGGGCATTAGCCTTGGGCTCCCTCCCGCTCTGCACCTCTCTATGCCAATCTCTGAGCAGGGATAGAGGAGAGTGAGAGAGAGCGGAGAGGGGGAAGACAGATAGAGGGGAGAGAGGGAGAGTGTAAAGAGAGGGGAGAGGGAGAGCGTTAGATAGAGACATAAAAATTCATGAGTGTGTGTCCAGTATGAAGAAAGTTAAAGGCAGTTTTGCGAGCCAATGCTAACTAGCTTTAGAACAATGACTGGAAGTCTTTGGATATCTGCTAGCATGCTCTCATCCATCCCCCTCTCCTCACTCTCCAGGATTGGGGGGGGGGGGGGGGGGAACCACTCCACTGCCTCCTGAGAGCTCCTATGAGACACTCTGTATACTCTGCGCAGCCAGGATGTGTAAGCTCTAAGCTCAGCTGGAGTTCAAAAATAGACTACATAGGTCTCACATAGGGGAGGGAGAGGAAGACTGACTCACCTGTTGTGTCATGAGGGGGGCTCTCTGAGGTGGCAGCCTCCGTCCCGTCCATGCTGCTGTCCTCCTCCTCCTCCTCCTCCTCCACCACAACCGCTCTCCCTCTTGCACGCCCCCTGAGAGAGCGAGAAAGAAAGAGAGAGACAGGGATGCAAACTGGTGAGGGCCCAAAAAGGTGACAAAATGTTTGCACGTAAACCCGCAAAAAATCTGTGTAAAGTGCAAGAAAATGTGCTTATTTTCAGAATGGGGTTGTCACAATACCAAAATTGTATTACCAATGTAATACCATGCCAAGTATCACCAGTAGTATCGTGATATCACATTTGTGGTCAATGGAGCGGTCAAATTTTAGAGGCCCTCCTCTTGGCCGCAGAGACAAAATATTGCTGTTTTAAAGCTAATTTCCTGCCATTCTACACATTTTGCCATGGCTTATGCAGTGTTATGCTATCTGAATGACTCATAACAAAATCAATGGGGGCCCGATGCATGACATTTTAGATTCTCCCTGTCTAGTAATTTATTTATTACAGGAAACACTGTACTTTTTACTGTATTATTTAAAAGCTGTACTACAGAAAATAGCTGATTTGCTCATATCCAAAGGCCTACCTGTCATTGGGCAGTTGGAATGTAGTAAGGAATAGAAATGCATAATGATCTGCACTAAAATG